CAAAAACACAGCGATTGGGCAAAAACAAATAAAAATTGAAACCGAACCAATAAATCACATACAAAATATTGCGCATTAATTCAAATCCACCTAAAGGCAGACAGGAAACTGAGCGAAGGGTTGGTGGGTAAAACAGGAAGAAATGTTCAACTTAATTGACATTTTAATACGCTGATAGTTGGCCAGCGATAAAAGCGATTTAATATTCTGATAATTGCAGCACTCACAGTTACAATTATGCCAAACTTAATCGAATTGTCAGTTGGGTGAATGGCGAAAATGTTTTTAAGTTGAGATTGGATAACGCCTCGTATGCGCAATGCTGTCATATGATATTTTAAACCTTCAAAAAAGTGGGATGGCAATTTAAATGGAAAAACGAGGTAGTTCTCAACTTAAAATACGCTATTGTTCTCTCCAGCGCGAGACATTCCAGTTAATTTCTTTATTCTTTGGCTCATTAAATAATCAAATAATTTCTCCCTTTTTATTATACAATTTTTACGTTGATCGCAGCTTGAAGTCTTTCGAATCACTCGATCACTGTCCAGTGCTATATTGAATTTTATTTTCCGACAAAATGTTCCGCCCCCTGTGGCTATTCTCACCAATTTCCCTCATCTTTCGAAAGTCAATTTGTTGTGACATTTTTATAAATGAGGATGGGTCTTTTTTTCATAAAGCGAATATAAACACTTCGGCTTCATAAATATTAAATTGGTTTATGGCATTGAAACCCATGAAAAATATTGGCTAATAAAACTATTAATCGTTAATTCTTGGCAATTAAGATAATAAATAATTTATTTGTTGTTGCCGAAAATGAAAACCACTTGTTTATTATATATTAATAATTTACAGTCCTTCAGTCCTATGTTCCACATTGCAAAATCAATGTGATAATCGTGTGAGATTTCTCTGAAATGTGAAATTTGGTGAACCGAATTCCGCAACATATATCTTTCCATTTTCTGATAATCCCGCGATGCAACCACCTTCTTCATACCCCCATGAGCGAAACACCTTGAGCAAATACTGGGGAATAATGATTTCGTACGTTTTATTTGCGCCTTTTTGTAGCTGGCATTAAAATTGAAATTGAAATGCCACAGACGGACCGCAGAAGTGGGACCGAACTAAAACCCAGCCCAGGAAGCTGGAAGCCGACTGCTCTGTCAGCTCCTGATGATGATGACAGCGTGGCCGAAAGGAAAAAGCGAAAACCACGTACAGTGGGCACTGGCACTAAGGCACCAAACCACTGCTGCCAATCATGTGTCAGGCTGTTCAAATCGAGGGCGCACTTTACCCCGAATTCGGAGTGGGAGGCCGGGTGGGTGGGTGTAAAACAAACGGGATGGCGACAAGCGCATAGTTTCATTATCCTTCGCCGGACAGACGGCGGAACAGGCACGGAACCGGACCCGTCGCTACACGAGGCGCATTACAAATTTTCGAAATGAAACTGAAATCAAATAAAGGACAGCAGCCGAGCTCTCCGTACACAAACATCAGCATCAGACGGCAGAGAGAAATCTATCTATATGTTGAATGTGTAAAGAATACCCAACAAAACCAGCAACAATGCCACGCAATTAAAAATGGCCGTGGCAGGACCAAAAAGGAAAGCGCCACAGGGGGCAAGGTGGGTGGTGGATGGTGGGTGGTAGAGATCGAGAAAAAAATAAATAAAACAACCGAAAATTGGCAGCAGCAACTGTGTGGAATGACAAACATGCTGCGAATTTGTAATCTGTAATATGAATTCGAATTTTAAAGATACATTCCCAGGCAGCCGTGGGGAGCTGAAACAATGTGGAGCATGAAGCGGAAACGGATGCAGGTGAATATGATTGCAGTTCGATTTAATTGAGTTGCCCTGGAATTCCAGGCAAGAACCATACAGACACGCCGTTACACACACACACTCACATATGCAGGCAATTCGACAAGGAACAAAAAAAGAACTGGGGGAAAAACAATCAAAAAAAAGGTTGGCAACAATCCAATCAGCTATACTGTAATTGGCAAAATGCAAAATTGCGAATGAACGAATACTTTTTGCGGCAAATTGATTGAGAACTCAAAATTGGCAAAATGATGAAATGTAATGCAAATGCGGTTTCAGTTCGGTTTGATTTCTGGGCGGGCCGAAGTGATGTTTTTGGGGTGGGACAAATTGTGTGAATGATAAGTGATGCTATATCGAGCGGAAAAGTGCATTGGGTAAAACTTGTAAGTGGGAAGAAACATATATTATTTACATGGTCATATAATTGCTTTATTTTCTTGCAACTATATTGTTTCTTAAAAATGATTCCCACAAAATCAATTTAAAATTGAAATGTATCTAGAATCCCGTTTTCATCAATAACATATAATTTATTTTCCCCATGCCATCGATCACTATTCCAATTATATCTACCTTCGATGCCTGCCAACATATATTTTGCACACTTTGCTCCGCTTTTTCTCGTACCTTCGGCCAGTTTTCAAACTTCCTGACTGGCTGACTGATTGCTTTGTCTTATCAATGCCCTCGAACCGAATACAATTCAATTTGTACAACTGCCACACCCACCGGCCAAGTGACGCCCAATTTGTCTTTGGCTTGTATTTATTTCTTTTTGGCCTTGTTTTACCTCTGCCAGTTTGGCTGGCGCTTCTAATCAGAATTTGTAACCAATTTTCAATGCTCGGTGCGTTTCCTTTGTCGCTTACGCAATCATCCAAAAACCATTTTGCAGCAGCTTCGAAAAAAGCATTTGACTTTGCGATCGAATCAAACAATCAATTATCTTGTCTTTTTCTGTCTTACGGCCTTTTTTTCGTAATATTTTCTTCATCTGGTTCAGCTTTTCTTTTCGGTCTTTGGTGTTTTTTGCAAGAAGCTGCCAATTTTATTGGCCACATTTTTTGTCAAATGCAAAATGAAATAGGGAATTGACTGCAACTGAAAAAAAAAAGAAAAAATGCATCAAAATGCTAATTTCTTGTCGTCAGAAGAGTAAATTCGCGCAATTGAGGAAATGAAAAGGTAAGGCACTACAATTTGTTATGTATGTTATGTTTACATAATCTAAAAATTATTATCTAACTCCTTTCAATATATAAAATGTTATCATTAAATTGTACTCTTCACGCCATAAACTACCATAAAATAATTCCAGTCCCTATTTGCTCCACAATTTGGAAAGCTTTCCCGGCTTTTAGTGGCCGAAACTCCTTTGTCGACCATCTTGCACGTCAACAGGAAGTCAAATATTCGCACACTCACACGCACACGCACACGCACACGCACACCAGCTCGCAAGGACACACACGCTTATGGCTCAGCAAATACAAACATGTCCGCGGCAAAATGGCGAGCATAAATTTCCGCTCGCCATCCGCTTTCTGACGTTTTATGAGCAGCGAGGAGAGCGAAGAAGAAGAAGAAGAAGAAGAGAGAGGCGGGCAACTGAGCCAAAGATTGTTTATGATGGCCAACAGTTGATTCATCGCATTTAATGGATAACGCCGAAGAACACACTCAGCAGAAAAAGAATCCAGAATCAAGTTCGCATATGCGAGCTCTGCCATTTTATGCTGAATTTATGAATTTATTTCTGCCCGCACACAAATGGCGAGAATTCGCGAAGGGGCGTCTAATATATTGGGCAATAAATTTGGCGGAGGAGACACGTCTCTTTGCAGATACCCGGGCATAAATGGAACGTAAATGGCTCAACTCGCTCAACTCCTTCATCAATTATGATTATTTACATGCAAGTGCAACATGATGTTGCTCTTCAGCAACAACGCGCTCCCCTTAAAGCCCCCAATTACCAGTGATTGTTTCTCGACTGGCGTGAAATTGCATCGGCTGATCCCCCAATTGTTTGGCCAATGGCCACATGTCGATGGCTTATCATTTAATGAACTGCCCGCCCAGGAACAACATCAACACAATATGACTATTGTACTTATGGCAATATCCCCCTTTTATTGTCCCCAGTGTGTGTGTATATTCAGGCATTGGCTTTTATTTAACGCGCCAAAGTCGGCGCTTATTTTTATTTAGGTCAACTTTATTATATGCACATAATTACTAAAGCCAACACACTGAGCCTCCGTGTGTGTGCTGGCCGGAGATAAAGCATTTATGAAGACAGACATGTGGGAATTGCGGTGCTGGCAGGACAAACAAAGTGCCATCGGGGGGCGGTCCTTCGTTGGCCTTCCGAGTCTCATTTATTTGCGCTGTTCTAATAATAAGAAATAATGTCGTTTCATGTCCTATTCCAGCCCGGCCCATTGTCTATGTCCTGGCTGCTACGTCTCCGGCTCTGGCTGCCAGGCCGTTCTAAAGGACCAAGTAAAATATTTATGCGACAAAAGACAATTTTGGATTTATGCCTCCCAGTATGTATGTATATATAGCATGTACTTCGGTCACATCCAACCACCAGCACTAAAAGCAGCTGACTTCGGCTTTTTGTGCCCCTAGTATTTTTCCCTTTTCTGGTTTAACAGGAACTGCTCCATAAATAGCACAGCCTTGTCAGGCCCTTTCGTGTGCGAATTTATGTGGCATCGGGCAGGAAATTGTATGGCTAACATGGCTCGATTTAGGGGAGCATTGCGGCCTAAACTGGGACAGCCAACCAAAGTGTGCAAACTTTAATTGAAGTTCATTTGGATGGATGCAAAAGCATTGCATTCAATTTGCAAAGCTAAGCGCATTTTAAACGTGACATGGATTGGGTTCACTGAGTTGATTTTTACCAACAGTTGTTTTGTTCACTGAAACTAGTTTAGAAACGCATGGTTAAACCAGAACCTCTCCCTTCCACAATTTTCATCCGATTTTAAAGTGGCATACTTCTATACCTTTGTAATTGCATTCGTAAACCAACTGCATTCAAAATTTCGTTTCTAGATACTGTCAAATATTGCCAAGTTGGTTAGGGTTTGGGATCATCGGATCGAGTCTTAGATCTAGCTTTCATTTTCTCGAATATCAAGCCTAATGGCGAGCAATAAAAAGGATACAAAAATTTACCGTGAGAGAAATTCAAGAGTAGTTCGTTTCGATCTGAGCGGAAATGAGCAGGCGGACATCGCGGCCGCGTAAATCCGATTACCTGGAGAATAACCCAGGATTAGCCAATCAAAATTCATTTGACTACGTCAAAGACAAAGAAGCCATTACCTGGCTAACCAATTCTTCAAAGAATGGTGGTCGTGGGCGAGCCCACGACATGGTGAAGGATAACGTGCTGCTCGCTTGGCAGCAAACTCCTCACAAGGACACGTTGGGCTTCTATGGCGTGGGGTCGCCCATCCACCAGCCCGAATCGGTGGTGTTCAACCAGGTGCTTTCTGAATGCCTGGCAAAAGCCAGTGGTGGCATCACCCGGCGGCATCTTTCCAGAAAACGAGGATTGCCACCTCAGAAGATTAGGACTTTAGGCGATATTCCTAAGCCGCAACGTTGCAAAACCTACGTACTTAACCGTCGAGCATTGCAGTCGGAGATCCAGCTGATGCCACATACTCGACAGCAGCTGGATCCCCGGAAAGCTTTGGAGACGATATATTGCCCTCATCCCATTGTTGTAACCCACCAGCTAGAAAAAATGATTCCTGGGGAAGCCCTCAAAACGAAGCGTAAACCAAAACCAAAAGGTCTTCGTCGGCGTTACTGGTTTTGCCCCATGGATTGTGGTGAACATAGAAATGATTGCACTCTGTATGAGTGGACCAAATTCAAGATGGATCCTCGACCTTATAACAAAAAGTTCCGCGAATCGGTCGAGGATCAAAAGGAAGAAAGGAGATCCGAGCCGAAAAACTACGAGCAGTTGTACGACAAGCTTATTAAATGTTTTGAGGAGAAACCCTCGTCGGATCCCCTATGCAAAACCTATAAGATTTGCTGCGAACCGCCTAAAAAAATCAACCAAGGAGGTGGAGATGGTAAGGATCGCAAAGGTTTTCGAGAAGGACCTGGAGGACCTGGAGGACCCGTAGGACCTTCTGGTGATGGAAATGAAGTGACTGGGGATGATAAAACCGAAAGTGAAAAGGAAACGGGAAAAGAAGAAGGAGATCAGGGCTATGGTGAGGAAGATGATGGAACCGGCGATAAAATGAAAAAACAAGATGGCGAACATGAGGACGAAAAGGAAGAGAAGGATAAGCATACTGATACAGAGAAAAACAAAGATAAAGAAAGGCAGAAACAAAAAGAAACAGATAAAGTTAAGAAAAGAAATATTAATAAGGATAAAGATAATTATGAGGATAGCGAGACTTATCGTATAGGCGAAGACGAAGAAGAAGGGAGGGGTAAAAAGAAAAAGAAGAATAAATATAAATTAAAAAAAAGGGACAGTTATAAAGATAAAGACGAAGAAAAAAGGACGGATAAAAAGAAAAAGAAGGATAAATACCAAGTTAAGAAAAGGAAGAGTTCTATAGACGAAGGCACAGGAAAAAGGACGAGTATAAAGGATAAAAAAGATAAAAATAAAGTTCAGAGAAAACAGAGTTATATAGACGAAGACGAAGAAGAAAAGTCGGGTAAAAAGAAGAAGAAGGATAAAAATAAAGTTAAGAAAAGGAAGAGTTCCATTGAGGAAGGCAAAGGAGAAAGGTCGAGTGAGAAGGAAAAGGAAAAGAAAGATAAGAATAAAGTTGCAAAAAGGGAGAGTTATGAAGACGAAGACGAAGACATAGGAGAAGAGTCGGGTAAAAAAAAGGATAAGAAGACTTCGAAACGGAAAACATCCAAGGATTCTTCGCGGAACTCCGATAAAGACAGAGCTAGTACAATACCCAATATTCCAATTGAGATAGACCCTCATAGAAGTTTCACTGGCGAAGTAAACGAAAGTGATAAGGATCTTCCAATTAAAGAAATTTGGAAATTCATTCCCAAAATCCCAAAGAAAAAGCCTAAAAAGCCAAAGAAAAAGGGAAAGAAAAATGGAAAGAAAGAGAAAGATGATAAAAATGAAGACAAATGCAGGAAGGAGGAAAGGATTTGCGATCCTTGTCCGCCGCCGGTTTGCGAGTGTGAAATCTGTGACTTCTTGGATCGCCATTGTGGGCAAGAGGAGGCTCCTTACATGAAGGAAATGAGGCAGGAGGAGAAGAGACGCCAACTGCGAGCTTACTATCGCCAAATGTGCCACCGGGAATATATCCGAAATCGAATTTGTGTGGAATATCGAGCACCGCAGCACAAATGCGATCCCATCTGCTGCGAGGACTTCTTTTGCAAAAATCCCCGCCTCGCTGAGCACTGCGAATGCCTTGAAGCCGTTCAGGAGCTGCAGAAGCTCCTCTGCGGCTTCAAGGATAACCAGTACTACTGCGAGCTGATCCTTCGGGTTGAGAAGTTATGCGAAAGTCTCTGTCAGCGGCTGTGTGAAAGCATTTTAGCTTAAAATGGTTTGGAGATTTTTTTGAGTTGATTGCTTTTAGCTTGATTTTTTTGGTCGGACAATAAATGTTTTTATGAAAAAGTATTTCGTCTAGAGCTTAGAATTTTTAATTAAATTTAGAAAAAAAAAAAAACCAATTTTCCTAAACATCAGAGAAAATGATTTATTCTTAAAATCAAGTAAACTAAATAACAAGCAATAATTATTATTAAAACTAGCCAATTTGGAAACATTTATCTGGCCATAATATACATACATTTTATTGGTAAAATCACGTTATCCATTTATGTGACTAACCACCCATCTGAAAACATAACCCAGGCAATTTAGCACTCAGCCATAACTCAGCGAGTACACAACACTTATTACACAATACACATTATGGCACTCAGCAAACAAATCCTAAACGGCAAGCTCAATCACAAAAACACAAAAACCTAAGGCAATCCGATGCTCGGATGAATTTGGCCAAGCCTCGCATTACAGCCACTTTATTTTCAATATCGAATTTCCCAAAAAATTTTCAACAGCCGCAAACACTTGAACGCTTTCCCAGCGCTCAATTAAAGGCCATTAGGCAGCAGTTAGAAATGGGGGGAGATGAGGTAGAAAGGTCCACAGCCAGCTATCAAAAACTACCCAAAGCCCCCTGCCAAATGGGTTGCAATATGCGAGCTATGTATGGCCAAAGGATATACTGGAAACACGCATTGAATTTCGCAGACAAAGGACACAGGCTTTTGGAGAATTTCCCCCATATGCAGAAATTCACATGGTGGAAATTCCCCCCATCCGTTTTACCCCCGGGCGCATTACTAGTCGGAAAAACGTTTCGCTCCTCGGGCTGGGGAGTAATTAAAGTTTTGCTCAAGTGTCGATAAATTATGCGGAAGACGCTCTATGCAAATGGCTTACAACAATACGAGCAGCTGCCAAGCGAAGCTTGACGAACTGACAACTTGACAGACTGCCGGACGGACGGACAGACCGACGGACGGGCGGACAGACGGACGGACTGACGAACAGTAGGATGGTGGGGCAGTTGGGCATTCTTTCAGCCTCCGAATGACAGGCACTTCATCATCGTGTCCTTCGGCGAGTGTGTAATTCATCACGCGAACAACCGCAGCTTCCCGCTCCTTTCCATCCGCAAAAGTGACATGACATGTTGAGCCTGCAGTTTGGCCCAAAAACGAGGTTGCTGGGGCCCCGAACGAATCCGGTAATTTCCCATCTCCACTCGAGGGAAGGCTTTAAGTTCGGTGAGCCGCCTTTCGTGACGAGGAGCAAAAGGAATGCTATTAAGCGAGTTGACATTAATCGTTCTGACTTCCAGCGGTGGCAAAGTCAGGGGGACCTCATGTGTCCTGGTGCTAATGAAGCTCTGGCAGTCACTCGGCTGCCTGTAATGGGAAAACAATTAAGTATGTAAAATGCAAATGACGAGCCCTAAAAATCTTGTCAAAACGCTCGTCATGCATATTGATAAGTTTAGGGAGCGGTCCCGAGAAGGGGTTCTTACAAGCTGCGCAATTAGTACATCCTCCTTGGCTGTGAATAAATTTAAGCTTTAATATGAGTGAAGATTTCAATGAATCACACACTAGTTATGGATTGCTCAGGATTTAAATAAACGTTTAAAATTTGCCAGTTGCCAAATCAATTTGCCTTCTTGCAAATATGCTTTAAATACCACAACCAAATTAATTACCTGCAGATTTCTCTCATTTTCAGCTTTTCTTCTAAGTCCACGTCCCCAGGCAAAGCATTAAATCTGCCGAAAATTAGGAATAAATAGTGGAATCCAATAAACCATCTTCAATAATGTGCAAATAAATATCCATTCACCTATCTCCATGTCATCTTGAACGCAATGCTGTCGCTTTTATGCATAGGATTTGGAGCCAGAACAAAAGCCTAATTAACCCCACGGTGCTTCTCCGCAATCAGTAGTTATATGCTTAAGTCCTAATTTATGTTTGGAATACGAAAATTGTTGGTGCAGTTTAAACGATAAAACGCCAGGCAAAACGGTTGGGGAGATCCAATGAACAGGATTACGCATACGCCACGCTGCCACCCACAGATTTCCGTTTCAGCCTCCTCCGTACGATTAGACTACTGAAAATTCCCGTATGCACTACCATATATTTATGTTTGCTTAATTAATGAACACTAATTCCCTTGTTTACCGACCCACAGCTCCAGCCCCTCAACCTTACTTAACAAATTTCCTGTTGCTCGGAGCCAGGAGCAAATTTCCAGTTAGTAAGAGACAAGATGCTGGGGTCTATTGCTTGTCTTGTTTGCGGCGAACTGACCATTAATGTTAATGCAATTATGAAATTCAAACCTTGTTTATTTGTGTGCTGATAATTCCAGGGCTTTGATTTAAGCCCACCGAGTAATTGTCTGAGGAAGTTCGGTATTGACAAAAACCCAATTCAATGCTGAAGCAAAACATGTTCCATGTTTATTAAGTGCGTAGCAAATGGTATAGCAACACTATGGTTACAGGGCACAAATCGTAATTAACATAATTTGGGGTAATGATAATTCTAAGATGGTAATAATTCAGTAATAAGTAATTAAGAAACGCCATAATCGTATTGATTTTCTTACTAGATCTACGGAAATTCCCTTGAACTTCTGTAATTCAAATTTAAATCCTCAATTGCTTACAACTAATTTTACTCTATTGAAATTGGCTTCCCCTTAAAAACTTCCTCCTAAACTTTTCCCTCCGCTCACTCACTTAAATAGCGCTAATAATAAGAATGAAGTTGAAGTGCCTTTACGAGCGTTTACAACGTATGATGATGGCGATTAGCATTAAATTGGGCCCGGACCCGCACATAAAACCGTTTTATGTCCTCGAATAAACAGGTGAGGGGCCCAAGAAAGGGGGGGGGGGGGGAGGACTCTCAAGGAAACCAACACAGAAGACATTCACCTCCTCCAACAAGGTGCCCAATTTTCGGCAAATGTTTTGGCTCTTTATTGGACGCGTGTCCCATCATCCCAGTGCTGCTCCTCAGACGCCGCAGTTGACTCTTCAAAATGGCCAGAACATAAAAATTGTATTAAGCCATAAAGTGGAGCGTAGAGTGTAGAAATAAAAGCAACCGAAATATACATAAAACGATTTTATATGCGGCTGCCAGAGAATTGAATTGACTTCTTGTACTTTCCTCAAAAGGCGTGTCTTGATTCATCTATTAAGCTCCATTGTTCTGGTAGTCAACATTTCACTGGATCTAACTTCGTGTTTTCGTTTCTTTTTTTCTTGCTAAGTCCTTTTGCTAGTGTAAGCAAAAAATGAATCCTCTATTCGGATTTTTTCGATTTTCATTTGATATTTTCCTTCTATATCCATTAATCGTTGTTTGAGGGCATATACGCATATCCTTTTCAGCTTTCTGTGTGAATTCCCTCTGTTCTGCTTTTTCAGCTTATATCTTCAGGACAAGATTTAAAAGCTTTCATACCTAAGCAGCTTTAAAAAGTGTATAAATATATTATTTTTTATTAAAAAAAATGCTTTAAAATATTTGAAATATCATAATAGGTATCCTTTAGTCACATTTCCATGTTCAATGCTTTTTTCTGAAGAACTCACGATGTTTGTCATTTGTGAGTTGTGTGATGTTTGTGCGAGGGGAGGTTGAAGCACTTGAATCCGGAATTCCCCCGACACGAAGTTCGCAGTCGAAAGTCAAGTGCGTCGGTTGTTCCATGCCCCTGCACTTGCCCCAAATATGATTTCAATATTTTTTCTGCTAAGAACATTTCAATTTATGTTCTTTCGGTCCCAGTTTTGGGTTTTGCTCGGCATGCGAGTGGCTGTCCCGCTCTCTTCGGATCCGCAGTCCTCCGGCTTAGTGCAAACATAAATCGCAGAGCATATTACACAATGCTGGATGCGTGCCGGCTTTTACGGGTGGCAAAAGAGGTCCTGCTCCTGGCTGCATCTCCTTTTTCCCGGCACTGTTTGCATTGCAAATGGCTGAAACGATGGTGGGGGGCCCGGCGGATTGAGTAAGCATAGTTAGGGTTACGGGAACAAAGAGCAAACTTTTTACGCTACGATTGTCCTGTTGCTGCAGGACGAGGGGATTGCCCCCTCAGAACTAAGGAACCAGCTAGAGCCAGAGATGGGGGCTCGAGGCTCCATGAACCCAGGGAACCCAGGGAACCCAGCACGCTGCGATTAGAGCCAGACAACGTGGGAAACTGCTCAACTATCAATATTGAAAAGGGAGCGTGAAAGGGATTTTTAAAATATTCATTCGTCCTTGATTAATCTTGTTCTGCAATCAATCACTGCTCTGGAAGGGGTCGAAGTTCAATATTTCCTTGCGCACTTCTTTGAAAAGGTATTTTTAACGTTGCTGGGAAGGAAGAGTAATAAGTACTTTAGTTAGCTGGAGTAATAAAAGTTGAGCTAAAAGTTCAAGCACTAGATATAATTTACAGGTTTAAAACCAACCAAGAATATATATTTAAAATTATAAAACATTTGCAAGCCCTCTTACATATAGTTAGTGTTATATTCAAGTAATATTTTTTGATAACTTCATTGGAGTCAGTCGTGAGTAAAGCCACTCGTATATTGGCTAATCAAAACGATCCCAGCTCGTTCGTGTCACTCTGCTATCGCCATCGCCAAGATAGTTTGCCGGGGAAAAGAGACATCCCCAGTCAGTGGTTGTTCGGTGGCTAAAGCGTCCTGGCTGCTCCTCGTCTACGTGTCCTGCCTGCCAAAGCATTCAAATTGTTTACCGTATGAGCGGGGTGCGCACGTGAAAGCCAAAAGAAAATTGTAGTAAATTTTAAATGGTACGGCAGCAAAAATGTGCAGCGGCTCCTCCGGTTCCTCCGGTTCCTCTGATGTTCCTCTTCGCTGTGAGCCAGGAGCCAGGATTCAGGATTCAGGATCCAGGAAGCAGGAGCCGCTGCCTTGACGCAGTGTAATTTATTGGCAGCACGTTTATCATGCCGTCGACTCGTTCCCCGTTCCTCCGTGCTCCTCCACAGATCCTCAGACTCGGAGTCAGCAACTCTCGCCTACATGCAGTGTAGTC